AAAAAAAAAAGAAAACACCTTTGAAGATTAATCTTCGATCCTCCACCCTAAATCTCTCAATCATAATCGAACTGGTAACGACAAAACAAAAAAAAAAGGAGTCAAGAGAAGAAATTAATTATTTATTTTTTATACTAATTACGTATTTTATACTCCTAATTGCAGCATCATTGCATTTCCCATAGAACGTGCAAAATTCTATTTTATTCTTATTATCACTAATCTTAAAATTCTACAAACACCATTTAAATAAAAAAAAAAGAAAACACCTTTGAAGATTAATCTTCGATCCTCCACCCTAAATCTCTCAATCATAATCGAACTGGTAACGACAAAAAAAAAAGAAGGAGTCAAGAGAAGAAATTAAAGATAATGAAATTTCCCTCGCAGGCGAAACCAACTTGAAGTGGCCGGATATCGATACCTGGCTGATTCGGTTCCTCAGGCCGTGCAAATACTATCCAGAGTCCGCGTTCAATCTCGTGAAGAATTACTACAGCTTCAAGGTGAAGCATGCCGACATATACAACGACCTGAGACCCAGTCGAGAGAAGAACATATTCGAGCAGAACATTCTGGTCGTGTTGCCACTACGGGACCAATACGGACGAAGGATGTTGGTGATCGAAATTGGGAAAAGATGGAAGCACAACAAGTGCAGCCTAGACGAAATATTCAAGGGCTGCGTTTTCTTTCTGGAGGCCGCCATCTTGGAGCCAGCCACGCAAATCGCCGGCGTTGTGGTTATTTTCGATATGGACGGGCTCACACTTCAACAGGCTTGGCAGTTCACGCCGGCGATCGCCAAGAGGATAATCGATTGGTTGCAAGACTCGGTACCGATCAGAGTTAAGAACATTCACATTGTCAATCAACCGTACGTGTTCAACATGGTGTTCGCGTTGTTCAAGCCGATCTTGAGGGAGAAACTGAGGCGCAGGGTGAGTCGAGACGTTTCTTCGAACGTTACTGCGCGAATCGGAATTTCTGTAACTATGAAATTAAATTAATCAATGAAGACAAGTTGATCTTAGTGATTTCAATTTGACAAGAAGCTTCTATAATTGCGATGAGTGGCAAATCAGTAACTTTGAATTTCAATTCCTCAAAGTGCAAATGTAATTCTGTTTTTTTGGATTCCTAAAGGAAGACATGTACATGTATCTATACATGTATTATCATTATTATTATTATTATTATTACAATTTCTGTGATGTCTTCATAAAATTAAATAAATAGTTTTAGGCTTCAGTTCAATCCAAGTGTAATTTTGTAATTAATTTTTTGGTAGAAAGATATTAATATATTAGATTAAGATATAATAATTATCATTATACAATTTTATATTATAATTATAAATAATTTCTACAGTAATTTTGTAAAATTGAACAGTGACGAAGGAAATAGATCGATTTCGATTCTTTAAATTGCAAATATCATTATTTTAGGATCCCCAAATAAAAATGTTAATTGGATATTCCAAGTAATTCTTAAATAAAGTTTTCGTCGTTAGTAGTTTCATTGTATTAAATATTACAAACGAGAAACGTGACCTTTATTACACGATTTGATTGTTTCAGCTCATCTTCCACGGAACAGATCGCAAATCGTTGCACCAATACATCTCGCCAAAGTGTTTACCCATTGCTTATGGCGGGGACATTGATATTCCACGTGTCGAGGGAAAACAGTGGTTGGAATGGTTACTAATGTGCGATAACGAATTCGACGGTACGTGAAACAAATTAAAACGTAGCAATTGTCATCTTTCGATCGTTCGAAAGATAATATTTCATCGCGCATTATCTTTTTATGATGAAAGAATTACTTAAAAGTGATCGACAGTGTCGTGATTGAAAATTTAACAAAATTGCGAAATCCTAAAAGAGACGCACGCACACGAAGAATGTATCTGTAACTTGTTTATCTGTTTCTATTTCTTTTTCTTTTTCAGCGATCAACTCGTACGGCTATAACAAATAATTCATGCGCCTTCAAGTCTCTACGTGAGGACAAAGAATGACGATTGCTCGGTCGAAAATCGATAATCTGAACGATTTTTCGAGCAACGACGACGGCTGTGAATTCTTCCAACAAGGTGTTGATCCAGATTCGACATACGGCCTATCTGTTTGTTTATAGACGATTATAAATTGGTCTCTAGTTAACTAGTGTATTTTTTTTTTTTTTTTGCAAAATACGAATGGAAAGTTAATAGACAAGTTGTTTCATTTCGTTAGTATGCGTAGTCTTTGATTTATCGTTTACTACTATAGCGGAAGACCGATTGTGTCACCAGCAGGATTTTATACACTGAAGATTAGAATAATTTTACATGATGTTACAGCGATATTTATTTTTTTATGTCCTTTTGATATTTGATATTCCGATATTTTAATAGAATGTTGTAAACTTGTTGAAAACGGAACGTGGCTTAACTGGAGAATCCTCCGAGACTTTAGAAGAATTTACCAGCTGATATGTTCCGTATAAATTTAGTTGTTAATTAATTTATTGTTAAACATCGAGGGTCTATCGTAAGGGAATATGCTTACAAAATTAACTTGCTTAATGCGTTAGAAAAAAAAGAAGAGAAAAATAATAATTACGAACAATAATTGCTCACCAACTTTTTTCTACTAAATGTTCCTCGACTGAGATCTTTTCATTCTATACAGACATACAGCCACCAGCGTTTATGATTGTTTTTCTACCAATTGTGAGATTTAATTCAGTCATTGAACGATAAATAATCATGTTTATTGTACATTGTCCAGTCATTCAAAAAAATTTATTCATCTCCGATAAAAGAAACAAAAAGAAGAAAGTAATTACAAGTTATCAACTTTGTTATCATTTCGATACGCTCGAAGTTCACGTATTGTATTTTAGATTATAAAGTAAATTTTATCCGGCGCGAGATCGTCGATCCATTTCGCTTGATTACTTTGATCGCGATTTCTTCCATTTCTTATCACCCGTTACCCCCGGTTTTTTTTTCGGTATTTTTTTCGTTCCGACGTAAACGATCACTTTACTTTAAACTCTCGATTACCTCCAAATTCCAAGTTGAACGACCATTGCACCTTGTCCTTCGTCATTCCGTGGTCCTGACGTATCCGTATTTTGCGGCAACTGTAACGAGGAAAATTTGAAATTTTACACGAGTTTATCGCAAATTAGACTGTTTGGTAGAAAATTTAATGCGAGACAAAAAAAAAAGAAAGAAATGGAGAACGCGATAAGCAGTCGAGGAATATCATTAGCCTAATTCTACTTGCAATATTTGTTGCAGTTAAGGATAGTATTAACATAAGCTTGCCATTAACACAAATCGCAAGTCTGGATAAACCGTTTCTTTCGCTCGTTTCTTGTTACCGGGCCGCGATGGAAGCTGCTTTATCAAATCGTGTAACAAACCATTTCATTCTATCTTCATAGAAGGAGAACTTCTATTTCAACTAAAGTCGAAAGTTATCTTCCAAAGCAAGAAACTATGAAACGATTAATAAAATAATTATTGCTCTCCTTTAAGTGAAAGATACCTATTTTCCTTTGACAATGTTTTCAAATCACATGTTAAAAGAAAACTAATCTTATAAGTTGTAATCTTGATCTGACAATCTTGAAAAAGATCTTAAAAAATTGCACTATCAATATTAATAGAACGAGTGTACAATTTGCAAAATTAATTCTACTGTCTCTCTAATTTAATATTTTCCAAGCGTAACAGATGTTCGTAAGGGATACAATTTCAGCTTGATCGAAATAGAATCTTTTGAAATTCGCTAAAATTCTGTTGAATCAGCAAAAATTTCATTAATTCAACGTAAATCTCAGAAAAACATCACTATTTCCAGGAATAGTGAAAACACGCGTCAAGCTGACACAATGGACGATAGAATCGAAGATTAAGAATAATCTCAACCGCGATTTCGTTGCATGTAAGATGTATTAATCCTTTTACGTAATGCACGAAGTTGCGTGGCCCGGTAATTAACGTTTTCTGTATAGACGGAAAATTATACGACGTGCAATTACGTAACAGAGGTCGTGCCCGATGCAATAGCTGGTCGTAATACACGTGCGTAATTACGCAAACGAATATCGGCTGTGATCCGTATTCAAAGATTGAAATTCGTTGAAGTAGTCCCTTGTACTTTTTTTTTTTTTTTTTGCTCGAAAGAGTCGAACACGACAGAGTGTCGTAAGAATACCCAATGCCCCATAAAATCAGGTTTCACACGCTTGTAAAATATCTGTTTACGCAATGGTCGATTTGCATGGTTCTTTTAACAGAAAATTTCCAATTTTCTTTACTGTATCTTGGTATATCTTTAAACTTCATTTCTTTCGTATGAATTAATATTGTACACTAATGTATAAAATTAATTTTAATAAATTACTTGTGGGAATTGACTCTTTCGCGTCGCACGGTTTTTTTTAACAAAAATTAAAATTATAAAATTATAAAATAAAAAATTATAAAATCAAAATTTAATTAAGAAAAAATTAAAATCAAATTTATAAAAAGATAAGAACAATTGGACGAGCAAAATGTTTGTTGTTTCTAGATAACAGGCGTTTTGATTAAAATTAAATCTTTCCAGTTCAACGCGATTGTTTCTTCTAAATCCAATGATAGTATCTTAGCAAATCATTCGAATTGAAAGATTGCAGCTCGAAGTTAATAGCTAAGAAAAGATTCGTAAAACTTTAGTCTTTTGTTAATTTAAAATTTATGTCTTTTATTAATATGATCCTTTATCTTTAACTCGAATAAGGTCACATGCTGTTTGCCTATTGCAGTGCACATTAGCATGCAATTATTTCTTATTGATCGGGAAATCAAACAAAAATCAGAAAGTAAAGGGAAGTGGATTACCTTCGAAATCCTTGTCGAACCAGCAGAAATAGTCGCAAATGCCTTGGCCAATCGATTCTTTCGGCATCTCGAACTTGCCACCGAACTCCACGGGCAAAACGTTTTCATCAATGAAGGACAGTAAAGAGTCCCTGTTCGTGCCATGGAAATGAAGCCTTTTGCGTGTTTTTTCCTGCGAATAAAGTTTGAATTGTTAATCGATTAGATTTCAATTGTCGGTCGAAAATTTGAATTTAAATTCCGAATTGTCAATTAGGTGAATTTCAACGAGGAAATAAGGCTGCTAAAGAAATTCAAATTAGCATTATTATATCGAACTCGTCTAGACCATTGTATTCGAAGATTAATTATAGCCAGTTCCGAGACAATAAAACTATAGGTCAAATTATTTCGTAATCAAATTTTTTGTTAAGTTTCCAATCTATTTAACACTTATTTACATCTGGATTCTTGTTTTCTTCGATATGTTATACATAATATTCTATTGAGATTATCTTGAACCGCTCATTTGTCAAATTGATGAACTCTACGAAGTAAAAGTTAGACAGATTGATAAAATAGTATAGATATTCTTTTTTAAAATTTAAAAGAGGAAGTGAATGAATTGTATTATTACAGACGTAGCTTCTGTCTAACAACATACAAAACAGCATGTCATAATTACATTGAAATAAATTATTTATTATTCTATAATAAAAAAAAAATTTTATTTAGCGATATTAAGTCTAATTATTGAGAAAATTTATTTGAACGAAGTTCTCTTTTGAGTGCTTGAAATTACGTCAAATTAATAATATACTGAGAGTTAAATTTTGATACATTTATTGTAATGTCGTAATTTAAATTTAAATCTATCTGAATCTCTAGTAAGCAAATCAATTATTGATTATAAATATCTGTAGGATATTGTAACACGGATTAAACATTCAAAGGGTTAAAAACGAATCAACTGCTTTGACACTAAAATTTCAATTTTTTTCAAAAATTGGAAAAATAAAATTAATCACTTTGGCCAGTGAACGATTCGAATCTCACTAAAATATTATACGTCAGTATTAGATTATTATATAGAAATATGTGATATTTATTATATTTGACACGAAGGTAATTTTTTTTTTTTCGAATAAAAAATGAAGAACTTATCGTATTTGAATCTCGCAAGATTAGGAAAAATTATTAATTTATATCGTGTACCAAAAGGAAGGGTTTGAAGATGGCGTAGATCATGTTGAATATGAAGGGTTGATTCACTATATGAATGCCCTTCAGTCGACAGGGTAAACATCTCTGTATCCAATCCGTCACCGAAGCGGCGAAACTAGGGGTGATGTGTGTCACGTGGGTCAATGTCAAGCCAGTCATATTTAAAATTACGTGAATTCCGGCGATCTGCAGAGAACACGTAAAATCATGACGATAGAATTAGAAATTTATAAAATAAACAATGATGAATGTAAGTTGAGAAATACAGGATCCAGAATTATAAACCATAGAAATGCAGAATTGAGAAAAATAAGAGAGAAGTATGAAGAATAAATCTGAAAAGATTTTCTTAAACTGCAGTTTAAGGCAAAAGAAAACATTACAATTGAATGAAACGTAATAAAAGGAGGCAAGTATAACGTAGAAAAATAGAGCAATAAAATATAACAGAATACAGAAAAAATGGAAGAAATAAAAAAATAATATCTTATAGAGAGAAAATTATTTTAAGAAAGTAAAATGAAGGATAGAATATAGAAAAATAGATAATAAATTAAAGAAGATTTTCTTAGGCCGCGGCTTACGGTAAAAGAAAAAAATAGAATTGAATGAATAAAAAGAAAACAGAGCATAATGCAGAAAATAGAGCAAAAAAAGAAAAAAATAGAGTATAATGAAAAGTAGAAAAATAGAACTAGAGAAATAAACTAATAAAAATTAGAAAAATAAAACAAGATAGAAAAAAAAATAGAAAAAAATAGAAAAATAATATATTACAAAAAGGAGAACATTGTAGAACATTGTAGAACAGTACATATATTGTTAAAAGTAAAAATAGAGAAAATGGAGGAAAAGAACAGAATATAAAGAAACATTTGCAAAACAAAGTTTTGGAATGAAATCGAAAGCTATTCATAAGGTCATGGTTATACCGAGTGTGTAATATAAAATATAATATATATTATACATAAATATACGTGAATATAAAATATGCAGAAAGTCGATATCATAGACAGCGTGTCGTGAGAATTTGACTAGAATGCGATGACGAGGTATGACAATACTAAATATGCGAACAGGAAGGTCGGCGTCACGACCTTAGTTATAGTTATCACATAATCGCTTTACGATGCTAGTCTTCTTTTATAAATTCAACAAATACTTTCAGGAAACTTTTCCATTTCTATGCCACGTGTACTTCCATCAAAAATTTCTTTCATTTTCACCGTGCGTTTCTTATGTATTTGTGGTGGAAAGTTCAAAATTTTGGAGAAACGAAATTGAAAGGTGAAATTGTAATCAGTACGCGCGTTATAAAAATGATTAAAATTATTAAAAATTATCTGAAAGAATTGAAATTAATTGAAAATATACTCTCTATCTTTTTCTGTCATTATAAATAGAAAGATAGTCAATGAAATCCAAAGTCGAATTATAAAATTACAATTTTTATAGAAATTTTTAAGAAAATATTAATGGAGTATCTAAACTGATGAAAAGTACTTTATGAGAATATTAATGAAATGTCGAAACTTGTCGATACTTTCATTCGATGTAAAAAAGGAGAAAAGAAAAAATAGAAAGAATGACTTTGAGTAAGTAAAAATAGAAACTGAATTGAATATACTTGTGTTCTGGGTTCAGCTATGGCCGCTTCCAACGACAGTATGACCGATCGAAAGATTTCATCGGTACTGATGACCTTTGGGTTCCATACTTTTCCACAGTTGATCAACAACAATCTACAACCATTCGCCATGCGATTTGGCAACGGTATCACTATATCCGAAGAGAGTACCTTTTTCTCATTGCTAGGTAGGAGATTAAGGCAGTAGCGTGGATTGTTCAACTTGAATTTGTAAAACCTTTTCATCTGTGAAATTAAAATGATTGTCGATCAGTAGAAGCTTCATTTAATTTGAATAGCTGACATCTTCTGATAATTAATATACTCGCTGCGCAGAGTCTTCTTAATTATCTATCTGAAATTCAACTGCTAAAGTCTCAACAATAACTGGATCGTTTCTCTTTAAAGTGAGTACTTTAACGTGGAGTTTTTATTTATAAGCAACTTGTAATTTCAATCTTAAAATATTCATCGAAATTTCGTTGCTGAATGGAATTGGCATAATCGATGGAAACTGAAACACTTTAATATCTCAGAGCAAAAGAAAATGAAACTTACGTCACTTTTCAAATAAATGGTCCAACTATTGACGCAATTTTTTAGCTGATGCATTTTAACTGCGCTATTCGAATTTTCTAACAATTTCTTTCTTTGTGAAAAATTTAAACATGTAAAACGATAAGTATAATCTGTCTTATCTATTTCAAAAAAATATTGTCAGAATGAAATATTTGTCATAATAACTTTGAGCGCGAGAGATTTCCGTTTAATCCTCACTTTAGTTCATAAAAATATGAAATTGCACAAGTATCTATATAAAATAATAAAATAGAATTCCAGTAGCAATAAATAAACGTGTATTAAATGGAATTTTCCTCACCAGTTCGAAGGCATTTTTCGAGTACCATTTGCAAGGCCGCAGAAACTTCCGACAAAATTCATCGTCATCCGGTACGTATAGGTCAGGTTCATCTAAAAGCGAGACACAAATCAATTCAAAACGTGCAATTACATTTGATCGTTTCTTTACATAGGACGGCCTGTTATTTCAAGCGACAAAACAAGCGGTTGCCTGATCACAACGACATATTATTACACTCCTGAATTATTTATTATCCTCGACAATGGTCGACGCAATTCTTGCCATCGTTATGATTTCAGAGAATTTAATATCGTGATCCTCAGTGATTAAGAAAATGTTTCTCTTTTAACAGAAAAAATTTATTGGAATAAAAAAAATTTATTAAGACAAAATGGCAAATTCTCTCTTTTTTCACTGTCTGCGACGAGTATTTATTGAAAATCAAAAACAAAGCAACCGAATTAATTAATAAGAAACAAGAAATTAAAAGGCAAACTATCGATTGTTCTTGTCGATTTTCAAGTTGCTGCGAGGAACATTTAACGAAGCCTCAAATTTTCATTTTCACTCGACCGGTTCTGAACATGTCAAGTGAATCCATCGAGTGATACCATCGCAACGACGTCGCGACATTCCTTTCTCCGCTACGGGAACTATCGGCAGTAACTATCGGTACTAATTCAAAGTATAATTCGTTTGTAAGAATCGTATTTCCGTAAAAGGTTCCCGGTATCTCTAATCTTGTCGATTAATACTTAATTAATCTCGTATATACGATCGATGGAATTCGATTTATCGTACATCGAGCAAAGCTCGTTAAATTTTTGACTGATAGCAAGATTAACGAGTGCAACCAATTTGCACTTTGTCCTCTCCATTCCTTATCTTCTCTGAGATTTTCTGTTCAAAGAACAGCCCGAAGGATTCTACGACAATGAACGAAAGCCTATCGAGCACTTTCCCGTACGAGAAATCGTTTCTCGCGGCATTCTCGATCTTCCTCGATTTAATGTAAAAGAGAATATCGTCGGTTGAAGTGTAAAGCAAGCAGAGGAAAGCACCGCATTACGATGTGTTTGCTCAGTATTTTCACGGGGAAGGCTGCTCGCCTTTGTGCCCTAATGAATCACGCGCGTACAAGAATATCCTCTCTTCTCTCTTTTCCTAGTTGAATCGATCTACAATACAACGACAAGGAAACCAACAGGGTTTCTAAATAAAATTGTAGCCCCCTCTTTTTTTACTCGTATCTCGTTACCATTTGTCGTAATGTTCAAATCATTCACGTATTAAAAATTCAGTACTCGTTGATTTATTCGTACATCGATCCACGTAGTATTTATTCGATCGGTGCAACGTCAAATTTTTCTTTCTGCGGAGCTACTTATAAATTTACTCGTATTGTACGTACAATGTACATACTCCTCGAATTCACGCAAAATTCTCTTCAATCCTGTCTAAACTTTCGAGGCAAGTCATTTCTACCTGTTGTTAAACTTAATTATATTCCTTCGATTCATGCAAAATTCTCTTAAATCCTCTGTGATTTCTTGAAACGAGACGTTTCTACCAAATTTGCGTACCATATTTGCGTATAAATTTGCCTACATATTAATTATATTCCTCCGATTCACGCAAAATCCTCTTAAATCGTCTCTGAATTTTCAAGGCAAGCATCTTCCATCAATTTTTACGTAGAATCGTAAGTTCACTTCTATAATTCGCATAAATTTCCCGTATATCTCGAAAGTAGAATCTTGAGAAGTCAAGAATCCGTTATTCCTTCGTCCTAAATCCTTCATAAATTTTTCAAATCACTCTTTTTACCAAACTGCTCATAAATCAGCTATGTATGTAACGTGTTCAAAATTTATCCGTTTCAGATTTCAAATTCCTCAAATGTCGTCTCCATCCACGAAAGAATTAAATCTCCTCTACTTTAATCTTCTACGAAACTACTCGCGAACAAAATATTCTCAAACCTATCTCTGTACTGTTCCCGTATTCACCGAGTATCACTTATCCACCCTAACTTTTCTACGTCACGAACTATCAGAATGAACTCTTTCTCGCCCAACTTCTCGCTGTTTCGCGATCACGCGAGCGAACATTCAGATGGCCGTGGAATCAACATTACGGCCCGCTACCATGGTTGCCATTTCCTAACGGTCCCGTTACCTTTGAGCATCGCCTTATAGTCCTTCAACGCCTGCTCGACAACCTCTGGCGTCTCGCGCAGCTCGTTCTTCGCCTTCTCGGCGTAGAAGTCACCGCCGTCGTCGAACTCGGCCTTTAACACAGAGCTGCCTATCTTCAAATGCGGCAAGTCCCGCGATTTCATCGTAACGATGAAAACATCCTGCTCTCCCTGTCCCGCTCGCTCCATTGGATCGTTGACGAAGGCTGTCTTAACTCTCGGCGAAGCTCTATCTGTGGAATCGTTTATAACTTTCGTTAGAAACTTAGAGATTGCACAGACACGTATAACGTGCATGTATACGAGACATTCTTGTCAATGATTTCTTTTCTGAGTTATCGGTTGCTGTTACTCGTATGTGAATTATATGCCATGCGTGCACGTTTATACTTGAATATCTCGAAAAGAGTCGGTGGAGATTGAATGTGATCTGTCGATCCTCGTATTTTTTCTTTTTCTTTTTTTTTTTTTTTCCGGATCGACAGGATGTTGTTTGAAACATTGAACTGGTTGAATTGCCAGAAGATTTGAAACTGAAGAGTTGAAATCATAAAGTAATACAAGATCTGGTAATTTATCGATTAATAATTGTCTCCTTTTTTTTTGCAATTTTTTGGTTTTTCGGAAAGAATAATGAACAACATTTTTCACTTCTTTTGTTACAGAGGAATTATTGTACACTTTCATGTTCGTTTAAAGTTTTCAATCAAACAAAATATTGTGCGATTTCTTTCGATTCCCCCGTTAATGAAATCGATAAAAGAAAATGTTTGTAATAAATAGAAAGTGAAAATGTGGTATGGTATGTTTGAAAAATATGTTAAAATGAACATGTTATGAAATATATTGTGAAAAAATATGATGAAAACGTGTGCTTGAAAAACAAATATACAAATGTCATTCAGACTAGTGGTATTTGTCGGAGTTTATTTGATGTGTACAATCCTATGATCACTATTTGCACAATTTTTATTTGAACGTGTGAAAATACGTTTTTAATCGAATGCGCACTTTTAATACCACTAACTATTTGACTGTTGATTTAAACTTTGTTCAAAATAAATCGTGAAGCTTTCCCTTTGTTATTATTACTGTTATTTAATGTCACCATTAATTTTAAACAATATTGCAAGAAAACTCGTACAGTCGTCAAGGAATACCAAATTATCGTCGAACAAAATATTAAATCAATGCACAAGGAAAATATGAAGCTACTATCAACAAAACAAGCATTTACTCTCGCTTCCATTAAATTGTTGAAATGCAATGTGCGTAGGATTGTTGTTTGCAACGTTTATTTATATGTACTCAATCTTGATCCGACAGTTCGCTGTCAGATAAGATAATTAAACACTCCAGACGATATCTAGAAAATGTACACAGCTAGTATACATTAATGTTGTAGAAACTGTGTCGAGTAATTGTAGCGTTTGCCTATATGAATTACTTAATGCAATTGACTTAATTAGTATAAGTGAAAGTATATATTTAATGTGCAGACACAATTGAATTCTCATTTACGATTCTCAAATCGTGCAGGATATTGTAATTTAATCAATCTTTTGGTTTCGAAATAGACCTTTTCTAATGGATTCCATGAAAGACGTCATTTATCTACAAAATTTAGAAAGCATACTAGAGATAAACTAAATATTTCTTAAATTTTCCAGTTTCGCTTCTCGAAAAAATCAACAAGTATCTATTTATTGTATCTTTTCCTCTTGTATAATTATTCTATTATGTATGATGACAATCAAGATGTAAAATTTATAATATTACACAAAGCCAGATTTTTATTACATTATATATAATCAAAATATATCGTTAATATTTATTATGTTATTTTATATTTATATTATTTTATATTAAAAACATAATATTTATTATATACGTTAATTTTATTATATTGTATATAATTAAAATATGTCGTTAATATTTATTACATTAACATTATTTTATATTTATATTATTTTATATTAAAAACAATATTTATTATATACGTTAATTTTATTATATTATATATAATCAAAATACGTCGTTAATATTTATTATATTAACGTTATTTTATATTTATATTATTTTATATTAAAAACATTATATTTATTATATACATTAATTTTTTAATATTATATATAATTAAAATATATCGTTAATATTTATTACATTAACGTTATTTTATATTTATATTATTTTATATTAAAAACAATATTTATTATATACGTTAATTTTATTATATTATATATAATTAAAACATATCGTTAATATTTAATTCCTCAACGAACAAATAACTTATATTTAAAACATCAAAGAAAATGACGCGCAGAACACCGAATTTCATGGTAATTTAAAAAAAAAAAATCATACACAGCGTGTCCTTGTCTCTATTTAGTTATTTTCTACTAAATGTTTTATCACTCACTTTATAGAGTCAATATGATCAATATTCAACGATTTCTACAAGGATGATTTATTTGTCAAGCTCATTTAAAAGCTTCACATCTCAATCTGTCCTAATCACCGTTAAATTAACGTTGACGTTAAATCGAAAGGAATAAAACGAACGAATCATCGTACCTGAAGCAGTCCACTTACTCCGGAGAGTCAGTCGGGAGATGATCGAAGATGGAAAATTCAGCGGTGGTCTCTCCTTCGAGAAATTTATCTCTCTTGTGGGAATACCTTACGATATCATCCCAATGCTGCGGGAAGTCATTTCACGGTGTGTACGCGAGAAGATTCTGCCAAGAACGCGGTATCGATTGCAAGGATCGTGGCGGAGAGAGAGAGAGAGAGAGAGAGAGAGAGAGAGAGAGAGAGAGAGAGAGTGAGCCTGGAAGGGAGTAGTTGACCTGTTAGTAAAGGAACAGGTTGACCGATTGAACGTGGTGGATGCAACGTGGCCGAGACACTGGTGAAGACTGTCTCGAAGCAAGACTCGCAAGTCGGAAATCGGATGGAAAGCGAAAGCGTTTCTCCCACCTTGCCTGTGTTCGTGACAGTGGGATCCGCGACGAGGAGTCACATCCTTCGTTGAAATCAATTAAACAAATTAGCTCCAAATGTTCTGAATCGTTGTTACAACTGACCTGCATAACTTTCATTCTGCTTTTGCTCGTCAATTCGATCGACTATTATCGTTGATTTCGCGTTACTACGGTTTTGGGGTTGCTGCCTGATTTTATTTTTGTTGTGATTCAACAATTTTACCCCCGAAGAGGAGCGGGCGATCTACGTTCTGGTGTTAAGGAGATTTAAAACAATAAATGGTTGCGCATTTGGACAAAATTTCGGAGGTACAAAAGTGACAAGTTAGATAAGATATTTCAAAATATAATATAATACTCGTTACCACATTTAGCAAGTGGGTAGAATGATTTTCTAGCTACGTTTCATTTTCTATTACGAAATGAAAAGTAGATAGTATGAAACAGCGCAGCAGTTTCTGATCAGATGAGTATTTCATTTTGTATTGTAATAACATTTCATCGTAGTTTCTAATCCTGTTTCGAGTGTCTTAGAAATAATTAATAAGTTTAGTTACTAATTCGGCATTAATAAATTATATTTATATATAATTAATGATTCAGTGTTGATAAATTATATTTATGAGAAAGAATATTTGCAAGATAAAGGTTTTTCTTATTTTCACTTGTTTCTCCTCTCTTTTTTATGTTCTTCCCTAGTTAAGATGAAGTTAGAAATATGAGGACATGATCACACATGGTACAGAAATTTCTATGCCTCGCTACTACATGTAAGGTAAACTTTCCTTTTGGCCCAGTTTCGAATTGCGCTCAGAATCGAGTTAAGCCGAACAGCTCGAGTCAAGTTTGAAACCGTTATGTAAACGTGAAAGAGGCCGCACTTTTCTTTAGAACATCTAATTTTATCAATTTTGTATCAGGTCGTTGCAAATGAAATAGCCGGACTTTCTACAAAACTACCAGTTTGTGCCTTTCTTGAAAGTAATAACAACTATGATACATCATATTTACATTTCGATTACATTGTAGAACGTAATTAGTGAGTTATGATTGAACTGCGAATTTTTATGCATTCATGGTAAATTTGAAAGTGCGAAAATACGTATAATATGAGGAAGAAACCTAAAATATGTAGAGTGTTCATTAAAATAAATTAGTGGGTGACATAAATCTCTATTTAATTATATAAAAATTTTCAAAAGCGTAAAAATCCGCAGTTTAATTGTTTGATTATTCCAATTAAGAGCTTTAGTAATCATTGTTAATTACTCCTTATTATTTGTTATCGATTAAAATAACTTTTTCAAATTAATAGCAAGTGATTTTTTTCCCTTGAAATAATTTTTCACAAACAAATATTGCTCGATACTTAATTATTACTTAACGTTTACTTATTTATACTTAAGTTTAATTTATTTCTAGATTAATTCTAAAAACAGCATTCAGTTCATTAAAATCTCGGAACATAAACGACGAAATAGATAAAAATTTCAATTTTATCAATATCGAAAAGACTGTAAATTTATATCTGTATAGTATTAAGTCTTCTTGTTTACAACTTGATATTTTTAATCGATAATTATCATTGGTGTGATAATACATTTTTTATTTGTTATTTTTAATTCTAATTCAATTCCATTCCACACAAGTCGTGTTATAATTATACTAAAGATATGATTATATTACTTTGTGGCTAACGTTAAAATTCTTAAAACGCTTGATTAAAATTAAAATACCACTTAAACTTTTAGTGTGACACGATTGATTTACGGAGCTCATAAAAATTGATTGATCTTGAAATGAATTGAAACGAACAAAGACAAAAGTAATTATAAAATTAGGTAAAATGCGTGGAAAACATAGGAGAAAGCTCACGAAATGCTCAGAAGCGTGAAAGTTAGACGATTTGTACATCTAATTCTTCTATTCAAAAATTATTACCAGAGACGAAATTGTTTGAATTAGAAAGTTGACTATTTCCGAAAGCATCAATTTCGAAAGCTTTTTCTTCGCCACCTTTCCTCATCATATTTTATTTTTCTAACTTCAGAAAAACTTCATTGAGAAATTCTTGCTAATTTCTTTTTAACGAATATTAAATACCGAGTTTTATCAGAAACAATCCAAAAATATTTTAGAAACGCACGACTCCAATTTATTTGTTATTTTTTCTTCTTTTTGAGGATTCATAACATACAGAAATAATAATATTTCGTAGAAAAGTATATACACAATTAATAACTATTACAAAAATATAACGATTCTTAATATGGTTAAAGTATTTTGTACCGAAATATGATCACAGAGGGATGATCATTATTCGAGTGCATGCTTGCCTCTTTTAATTTAATTATTTTTACGAAGTCCGTACGAATTCCACTCTGAAACAATAAAAACAGGTTGTATCAATTTCTTCCCTCATTATATCGAAAATTGTTATTCAATTAATCCTTTTTGGTTGTCGCTTTGGTATTCTTAGTTGCAAAATTAAAAAAAAAAAAAATAAATAAATTCGATTTTAATCGACAACGTACATTTAAAACAAAAAATATAGAAAGTGTATCTCGTTCTTTTTCTGCAGCTCTGCATTTTGACTAGTATGTTTGAATTAGATAATGAAATAGACTACTCAATTTGACATAAAACCACAAAGGATTAATACTTTCAATTAAATTTTACCTTTAACCTTGTCTTCATGCTTGATCAATGTTGGATACCAATCGGCGCTGGAGTAATCGATTTCCGGCAGATCGCCGCCATAGTTCTTCGGCAAGTGACTAGCTGGAATGTAAGCGTGAAGGGAAGGCCTTTTGTCACCGTGGAAGAACATGCGGTTTTTTAGTTTTTCCTTGACGAAGGGCTTCAACATTTGCCACACCATGTTGAACAGGAACGGTTGATTCACGTAGTGTACCTAAAACAAGTAACTATTAATTTAATTGTCAATTTTAAACAACTACATAACTAGACGATAAAAATATACAGAAATGTTCTAAATAAAGTTTATTGTTATTACAATTAATGTTATTATTAATTATTATAATCGTTATTTACTATTATTATAATTAATTATAATAAAAAATCTAGCATTCAAATCAAACGAGAAAACCATTTAGATGATATGAAATCAATCGACAGTGGATTAGATTCAAAAGTTCAGCATTTTTATATTAAAATTCTGCATTTTAGAAAATTTTCTCATAGAAAAAAAAAAAAAAATTGCTTGCGCGGCTCATCACGTCTCCTTTCTGTGGTCTTTCAGTAAATTTGTACAACAAACCACAATTTTTAGTTTTTCTAAAATACTTGAACGAAATTAATTTCTTTAAAATCTTCAAACGCACCTCTTTCAAACGCAATGGCATAGCTTCTTGAATGAAGCTCAAGAGTTTCAAGGAGAAAGACGGCGTCAGTGCCCTCACTTGTTTCATGGACAGGCCGTCGAAATCCATTATGACAACAGCTCCGTATATCTGCGAAGAGGAATCATTTTCTTACGTGAGCCACAAAGGAACATTTGAAAAGCAAGTCACGGGCGACCGAAGGAAGAACTGAGCTTCCCGGCTTCAACTGCAGCCTGCGACATTTTACATAACTACGTAATTACAAGTTACAAAACGTTACAAAACCGACGGCGTTATAAAACCAGGCTGCTCGCCGGAAACTTTTATTGCACTCACTTGAGTCAGTGGCTCGCGCATAGCTAACTGATGGATCAAATAAAACAATCGTAATATCTGATCAGTGGTGACAGCTGCCGGGTTCCAACTTTTCCCACAGCTGACCACAAGTATCCTTCGACCCTTGTGATCTCTTCCTTTGAGGACGTTCACCACATTGTGATCGACAAGGGCGGTCTCCTCATCGTTTGGCATTAGATTACCCAATATATTTGAGTGCTTCTCTTTGTACATCGCGCTCCGTTTCATCAGCTCGTAGGCACTCTTCGCGTAAAACTTGCACGGCCGCAAGAAAATTAGAAGGAAATCTTCGTCCGCTGGAAAATAGAGAGTATTGTCCTCTGGAAATGACAAAAATGAAAGGTTAATGATGATTGAGAGGCTATGGGTGGATTTAAATACATATTTGCATTTTTATAAGGTTAATAGACTGTAGGTGGACTTAAATACATATTTTCATATTTTGTGTGTTTCACGTAAAAAACAGACGACTTAATATATTATTATATTGTTATATATGTATATATAATATACTATTATTATATTATTATACATGTATATATAATATACTATATTATATTGGAATATATTATATTATATATTATTATACATGTAAATGATGTGATATCATTTATAAATGATATGAACAATTTGTAAATCATAAATTGTAATTCATGATTGCTTCCTGCAACTGTTATATGATCAGTTTGTAATAAGTCTGTTCAATATAATTTGAATTCAATATCAGTAATATCAAAAATAATATGAGCACATTAATGTAACGATGATTATAGAGCAACACAAATGTATCGAAACGTTAATTTGATTTCATCGTTTATTAATACTATACTAGTGTACTAATTGTTAAAAGTACTAATTACTAGGAATTACTACTGATTGTTAAAAATATTTCTGAATTTTCATATAATATCTAAAGCGAGAAATGCTAAACTCATATAACTAATACAAATATTATTGTTTAAAGTGATATTATTTATTACCAGACATGTAATAATAAAAAATCACAGTTATTTCAATATTCAAATACCTATATGTCTATAAAAAAAACATGGAATAGCATAATAATTCAAGTAGAAGAGCTCAAATGCCACTCGTAAATCAATTTTTTAGTAACTTGTATCGTACGTGATGATAACTGTAAAAACTTGACGATATTTAAATAATATAAAATGGAATAATTTTCTCAAAAAGTTATTAATATACTTAAAATATAATCCCAATGAATTCATTCTTAAGAAAGTATACTTGTGGAAGAAAAATCAAAGAGAGGTTTAATCACATCTTAAGAAAAGATTTTAGTTCGATTCGTTATAAGTAAAATTAAGAAAATTTTGTAGATACACGAAAGAACCAGAGGATATTGTAAGCATTGGCATATATTAAATATACTAATTTTGCAAAGTAGAAAGAACATTTTCATGAACAAGCAATTTTTCCGAAGATATGTTGCCAATTTGCTGTGAAAAATCTGTGATATACAATTATTATATATCGTAATGCAAATTATGAAAAATTAGTATTGCAAATCATAAAACGATCAGTATTATAATACGTGTGTACGTTTTGCATAATGTTAGCCTGGTCTGGTTCTTGTATATTATTTGCATATTTGTTACACACATGAATGTATGACGATTAAATGTATTAAATGCATTGCTATTAGAACTTCTGAGTATTACAGTCTGACATTCATCATTGCGACTAGATCGGAATTTCTGAGAATACATTGAAATTCGTTTGCATCAGAAGTTACAAAATAATATGTAATATTTTAAAAATACTTGATATTTCAAATTACTTGATATTATGTTAGAAAAACAAAATAAAAGCTAGAAATAAAAAATTGCACAAATAATTATTGATGAATGACCAACGTTTGCCAGAAATTATTTCTTTTTGCCAATTTAATAATTTTTATGTAAATTTCCAAATAACCTCTCACTTTTTGTAAAAATTTGTTTGAGTTCCATCATTCTTGAAATATTACATACATATGTGTGATATGAAATACGATTAATAAGAGCTCGCAACCTCGATTGATCTCTGTTTATTTTCTTTCTTTTTCATGAAGATTATTATAGCATAAAATTAATACTCTAAAAAAATTATTAATTAATACTCTATTTATAGTCTCTGATTGAATACATTTTCGTATAAAATATTCATGCGTAATTATCTGTATCACGAATAATTGTCACATCAAATATAAATAGCTCAATTATCACTGAAAAAGTGGATCCAATTATGTCATGGAAACATGATAAAGTTCTTATATAAAATTAGTTCATTTCCATTCGACAATAAATCAAAAGATACAGATTTTTTTTTCATAATCATTATAGTGATTATCTACAATTTCATAATCATTATAGTCATTATCTACAATTTAGTACAATTGACATATATTAATACAGACATTTCGAATACAAAATAATTTTATATGTACGCTGGTAGTGAATATATAAATGTATGAGTGAACAGAATTTTATAATCTACTTTCGATCGAACTACACAAATATTGTACTCCTACTTTCGATATAATTCTGGTCGTGTGAAGTGTCCTATGCAAATAGAGGTCTTCCAAGTAACTCTAGAAACGCATTAATTAACTACATTTTCTTTATTCTAGTCTTCGTTCCCAAGAATGAAGAGTTTGCAGCAATCAAAAGACAACTCCGATATTTAAGTTGGTAAATATATAAATTGATATTTATTGAAAGAGAACTGAAAGTACAAATTTGTTGTTGTAATCTGAAAATCTATTGGATCTGACATAATCAGGCGACGAACGTGTGCTAATAAAATTTACAGAAATGAAGTCTAAACACAAATTTGTTTCACCCGTTAAATGCTGCAACGAGTATTGTAGTTTGAATATTTTAATACTGGATTACTGAAACATCAATTACTGACAACATAGAGATATTGATTTTTACGGTATTAAATTTTATTAATGACAAAAATTTCTAACTGCCGACTAAATTTCCGCAACTAAAAAGAAAATGTCAACATCTATTTTTACAGATAAAAATTTTCGCTCCATTTATTTATTCAAACTCGTTCCAGCACGCACAAAAGCAATTCAAGGTAAAACGCTACACGGTAATTAACTATTCTGCTTTTAATTCCATGCTGCAATCAAAATTCATCATTGCCAGTGTGGGCAACTACATTTCGCAGGAGAAACAATTTTCATTTCAACAGTCATGGAAGATCGAACTGTCCTCGCGTGCTAACAACGAGACATCTTCCGTAGGAAATTGCCCCGATGTTCCTTGTTAAGGAAATTACGACAATCTCTATCTCATTTCTGATTTCAGAAACGGAACTGTCGGACAACTGAATTTTGAATCGCAGAAACGAAGAAAAATCGAGGAAGGCGTGCAACAAAATAATAAAAAAATAACTATGTAGAAAATCTCACCGATCACAAATCGAATTGTAAATGAATACTGTAAATAAAATTTGTATGTTTGTTTGTTTTTTTTGTATGTTTTTTTTTCTGCCAACATTGCCAACATTCAATATGTACTCTAATTGTAAAAATTTTTATTTCCACTTGAGCTCTAATTATGATTATGATAAACTTTATCTTTAATGGCCAAAGAGGTTAAACTGAGATAACAGTGGCAAATTTTCTCAATGTACAAGTTTCGTTGGCTAATAATCTTTCTTCCATTGCGATTTCCCTACGAAAAGTTTGATCTATTAAGATTTAAACTGCTCGATCAATCTTATGAAATTTATATTTTCTACAATGGCAAAAATTTAAAAATTTAAAATCTCATAAAAATATTTCCTTATCCTCGCTTAAATGACATAGAAGGAAAGTATTGCTTTCAAGGTGATGATTATACTGACCTCACAACGTGATTAGATTATTTTTTTCATTATTTACAAATTTGTTTTAATCAATACACTTTTTTATATAATCTTTTGATATACAACAACTGTCAAAAGTTTCGAGTTAAAGTATAACTTTATTTCAGTGTAGCTTTTTAGACTGCATTAATAATAACTAGCATTAATAAAATTCTTTTTACAAAAGTCTTTCTGACATGCATGTTATATTTGTACGATAGATTTTAAATCTCAAAAACTCTTTGTGTCAACAAATGCCATAAAATTACATTTTCACCATTTCTTTATCAACTTTAAACTTATTTTCTTTTCAAACCTTGGTATTCTTTAGAAATTACAAAAACTCAAGTTCCAATTACATAATAGCTGATTATTAAAACATTACGGAAAAATATAAGTTATGTTAAATTCTAAGTCTTGTACGTCAGAAAATGCAGTTAATAAATTTATTCACAAATGCAAGAAACGATTTGGAAGTCATATTATCATTTTTTAACTATTTCATATTATTTATTGTAATTTCGACGATTCGTTTGGCCTGTATTAACCAACTAAGAGAAGAAAATATTTCAGCATACGCAGTTGAAACGCTACAGAATAGAAACAAAAAAAAAAAAAATTACAAAAATAAAAATATTTTAAATTAAACAAAGAAGAAGATTGTTAAAATGATAAAATAATAAAATTCCAAGTTTCTTCAATTTCGAAGCCAAGAAGGGCAAATTAGAAGGAACTATCTAGCAGAAGAAAGTTTATAAAACGAAAAATGTTAGATTTCTTCATTCTCATTACTCATATTCATAAGATTATTTTTAGTGCTATCAACACGATTCTACGCCAGTGCAACAAAAATCTTATCTTGAATGTGGCCTCTACTTTCTTCCAAAGTCTAGGGTCAGAACATTATCAATAAGGATTTAAGATCGATCGACTTATCTATAACCTCTGATCATCTTTATCCGACTAGCTACAAGTTGTTTGCGGTCGCTGTTTGTCAATGTTAAGAAATAGTGAAATGCTGCATTTAAACGAGAAATGAAAAGCTACTGTGCACCCGTGGAGATAAACTCTTATCGAAAAAACGAGCGTCACTCTAAGTGAACATTCTGATACATTTGAAACTGACTGGAGTCGTCTCAATTTTCTAAATATAACCATTCAGTTCTTTTTAACTTTATACACATTCAAAGATTTATCGATTTCGTTTTCCTTTCTTTTTTTATGTCTATTGGAATTAAATACAATTGACAGTTCAATTTGAAAATCATTCACAATTCTTTTATGTGTATTATAATTAATATGTGTGAGCTATTAAAAATTGTTTGCAATTTAATCTGAAATAAATATAAAATTCGTTGACATATTCCTCAATTACTTTCTCTACACCGACCTTTTCTATCAAACTAAAGATTTTTATCAGAGGCTTTTATCAATTCATCCAAAACATTTATTGATTACGTTTAAATTGGAAGTATTTCAAATGTCGCGTTTTTATTATACATACTATAGTAATAAAAGACATTAATCATCGTGCAAGGTGCGTCCACAAGTATACAAAAGAAGAAATGTCATTATGCAAATTATATGACTCAGAATATTATCAGAAAAATTTTAAACAAAGAGTGAATTTAAAAATGAAGAAACTATCATTTATGAAATGCTTTAGTATTTCTTACGAGCTTTGTTGTACACATAATCCCGCTCGGTTAGCGATATTCTCAAAAATAAGATAATTTTTCAACAGTGAAACAACAAACAGTGCAGGGAATGTTTTCGACTGATTTCGTTTATTGAAGAACCTGGAATGTTAATCAATTGGGCAAATACTGTCGGATGTTACTGTTCACAGGTGCGACAGGTGATGTCGTCAGAATATAATTGTTCACTTGTTTACTGATGATCGCAATTAGATAAAAATCATTTTCATCGATATATCATATCGATTATTAAAAGCTTTATGACTGTTAATAACTGTAAAGTACATACTCTCCCATTGTTGAATACTGTATGTCCAATATTTTATTCTTGAGAAATGAAAATTTTGATATGAAAATAAAACTTTTGAAGCACAGGCTTATCTTGGAATTTCTCTAGATTGTTTCTACATTTTATAAATTTATTTCAAACTTATGAAAAATTTGTAAATTCTCGAAAAAGAATGTAACAACAGAATCACCCAAAAAGAAAACTTGAAGTATCAAAATTCAAGATCTCAAAAATTAAAAATAGAATTGTAATTGCACTTTCACATATTAAAGAACAATAGAATTATAAGAATAAAGAAAACCTAAAAATACATATAATTACTCACGTTAATATTTGGACAGTAGATATTGAAATAATGAAATAATGAAAAAGTTTAGATGACAAGAATTCAAGAAATCGTAACATTTTCATTATATTCGTTTTCACATAATATTCAAAATTCAATAGAACATATATAACGAAAAGAATTGTACATCAAGCAAATGGAAAGCTTCAATTTTTGAATTCATTGTACATTCAGTTACGAAAAACTTTCAATATTTTACAATTTATTAGCATTCTCAAGAACGGAACTGTCTTCACTTTCGAACTCGTGTTCGTGATAATAAAAGCAATCTCAAAATAAAATGAATGATTGTATTTTAAAAGTAGAGGCTTCGAGCTTTAAAATGTGCTCAAATTTATTATTGTACGATTTTCTTTTACGAAATTGTAACATGTTATTATTATTTAAACATTCGAATGTTAATGAAAGCAGCTGGATATCACATAAACTAAAAAAGAAAACCAAGAAAAAGATTGAAAGAACTTTAGTAAAAACTCACCCTCGAGATACTTTCTCAATTCAATGAGTCCTTTGTCCACATTTTCCTCAGTCTCTCGGAGCTCCGTCTCAGCGACAGCCATCGCTTCCGGTCCCGGCAACGTCGTATCCAACTCAAACGACATCCTTCTGCTTAATATTCCGAACGACCGATTCAACACGTTACGACCGACAAAACGATCCTCGCAGCAGGACGACCACAATATATCTGTGACCTGATATATCTTGCACTAGGAGAAGGAGGTCTTCTCTTGTCCACCATCTCAATCCAATCTTTGACCGCTCAAAGTCCAATCGGCACGTAGCGACGGTCCGATTTCATGACTGTTCCGCCGGCCGATTTCGTGTCGCTTACTGTGCACTGAAAGTCGAGGCAGCGCGTTGCTTGATAAAATTGTCACCCGGAAACTGATCGTGTACACAGCGAGTCATCGATTGATAAGTAGCGATCGAAGGAAGGAATGTCATCGATTGTTTACCATTTTTATGACGGTCGATAACGATTTATATCGATCTATGACAATATGAAAGATGAACCTGAGATTGGGATCGATCTTACAATTTTATATATAAAATAATGATAAGATGGATTTGTTTGAAATTTTGAATTAAGAAATAAAATTTTTTTATATTCATCCCGATTTTTTTTTTTTTTTGCATGCTTGAAACTGAACATTATTGAATATGTAAGGAACATTAATATTGAGGTCTCGAAGAAACTAAGAAGATGATAGAAAATTTGTTTATAATAATCTTTAACTAAACTCAAGCGCATTAGAATTAATAGAATTGTGATTATGAAGAGAATGATCTAAGTTTCATTAATATAGATTGATTAATTACAATGTGTTTCTGCTTCTTTATGTAAGAAGTGAGTATTACATTGCTATATACATTGACCTTTTGAACCAATCTCTGACATCATATTGTAACTTTTTCTTCTATGATCTTTGTTATCAATAAAACTTTCTATTCATAGAGGAAATCGCAAACAACTTCTACATTTTATTTATTATAATATCACGATACGTCAGAAATTTGATTTGAGATTGAATCATCATATGGTTATCACATATTGTTCTTGATTAACGAATGAACTTTGCTAAAAAAATGATTATTAATCCGAAGAATAATAACAATAAAAGACATAGTCCGTAATCATGCAATATGAATGTAAAATATGATTTTGAGAATTTACATATTATTAACAATCTTTGTTCCCTGAAAAAGAAGAACAAACAAGTCATTTATATTTTAATAGAAAAATTGTAGTATAATAAAATATTACAATTAACTCAAAATAGACTGATACTTGTGTCCTTCAATAAGTTATCTTCTTGATAAAGCGTCAATATTTCTTGTTTCTATCATTTTAAAAAACGATTCTTCTAAAATTATGAACAGTAATACATTTATAATATTTGTATAATTTATTTCCTAACTAAGTGAATACAACAACAATAACCAGTTGACAATAATTTCGCCTTCAGGATTAATTGCGCCCTCAGGAAAATTATTATATAGCGATATATCATTTATTCAGACATTGTTTCCTCAATTGTTGCTATCATGAATTATCAATCTTCATCAGTGAAATATGTATACGATTAAAGTTCAACATAATAATTGCTTTGATTAGAATGAATTAACTGTGTTCTCATTTTCACATGTTGCAATAATTAAAATTTTTTTTGGCAGAAGAGAAAACAAATTCACAAATAAATATAAAATAAAGACAAAGATAAATATTGCAATCAAGCTCACATGTATTCTGAAACTTATTGTTATATTGTTGTTAAGATGACGAGTTACTTTTTACTTCCTAATCATAATTAGGTTACATAACATTGCTCATTTGAGTATATTGCTTACGACTTCAATCAATGCTTCATTAAAAAACATAAAAAAACGAGTTTGATGTATTCATATATCAATGAATAGATTGAGGATTTTATGTATTTATGAAAGATTTGAAAATGCAAGAAAGAATACAATCCAAGTAATATTTTCATAGTAATTAATATAAAATATTTAGAATATAATATTCCTTATAATATTTAGTAAATAAAATAATTTTCTATCGAGACTCTATTTTTTTTTTAATTATTTCAATAAAAATATAAAATTGCATGAACATCCGCAGTCTATTTATGAAAAATATAAAAGTTCAGAAATAGAATATATGTAAAAAATATATTACATAGAATATATACATAGAATATATGTAAAAAATCGTATATCAAATATATATAAAAATGCAATAAGTCTACATAAACATAGCGTTAATAACGCTACATTAAAAAGCATAAATAAATATCTAATAATTTTAAACAAATTACAAATGAGAAAAATTGAAAGCCTAAATCACATATTTAGGCATATATTTTGATCTCCATTATTAAATGTAATTGCTCTAAAATATTTTATTAATTATTACTTATATATTATATACATATTTTCATGAACGTTTCGTCACAATGTTGCAACATATAAATCATTTTAAACATTTGATTAAATTACATTGAAGATTATATTCTATTTGCTGCATTCATATTTATGTATCTGCATTGCGCAGTACGTGACCAAACATATTGTTACTATGTAAGGAAATCGTGTTCCTTGTACAGTGTTTCGTAATGCAATCAAATCGATTATCTGCACTAAAGTGGAATGAAATCCTATATTTTTACTCTATTACACAGAATTCCACGTTATAAACTAGAATTAATTCTGTATTTCGCCTACTTATATGTTTTTATCTCGAAATATAAGAAAGAATTAGAGTTAGAATTGCAATTGAAAGTGATAAAGTATATATAAAATTAAATTTTCTATCAGTTATTGAATCAATTTATATTAATTTATAAACTATGAAAAAAAACTGTGTGTGTTATATGAATACGCAAATCATAAATACGTAAAAATCTTTGAACCGATTTTAAATCAACCAATTTAATTTATTTCTCATAATCGCGCGTAATTTTAATTAAATATCGATAAAAGGTGATATCGATGCGATATCGACGGCCGCAAACGCTGCATTTAAATCCACATCATATACACAGATGGCGCAACATACATATACCGTGAACTGCTATCTATTTTGAACGTGTGATGATGTTAAATTTTATGAAGTCGTGTAAGTGCATCAAAACGAGTGAGACGCAAGCTATAGAGGAGAAGGACAGAATCATTCCTGTGCGATATTTGTTTTTTCCTGTATCGCCGTATTCGCGGCATTTATCTGCATTCGACGTTGTTCATTTATTTCGTTGGCACCCAAATCCATCGAAAAAAGGTTATAGGGCGCTGCGGCCCGAATTTTACCAACGACACGATGTCGGAGGACCAAGTCAAATCTCCGATCGACGGTATTCTACCGTTTTTACAAAGTGTGAGTAGCTCAATTTATTTTCATTTCAACATAAGCTTCGTTTTACTCAACTGCTGCTGACACGTCTCATTGTAATTTTAAAACTGCCCTATGTTTTCAACCACTTTCATTTTCAATACGGCCGGCGGAAAAGTGTCAATGCGAGAACACTGGCGCACATGTTATCCAATTCGATTAGTAGTTTGATTGTTATATACGCATTCGTCGTAAGATTTTTATTAGCCGTAATAATGTACGTTTAACTTGGATTTTCTCGCTGTAACAAGCATCTATGTCGAATAAATATTTTCGCCGAAAATTTATTTTTGATACATGAATCATACTTTACGTGTTCGATGCCCGATTTCCAGTTCTTTTATTTATTTTTTGTTTTGTTCTGGAGTAAATTATAGCAGCAGTTTTATTAGTCAATTAATACGTGTAAGTGTTCGTTCGTCATACATGATTTAGCAGTATGTCGAACATATTAACACAGACTGATAGAAACTATTTAAAAATATATATACATATCATGCGATGACTTGTGAATACATGAATACATACATATTACATGTTCAACATGTAATGCAATATAATTGTTCAATATGTATTAAGTTTTCCTTTTTTGTATTTTATTTGCTTGCAAATATTTTTGTTTTATTATATCATAATACTTTTCTGAAAAGAATATATAAAGAAGCTAGTCATACATTTGAATTAAATTGAATTTTATTGCAGATTGAATGGCGAGATCCATGGCTTGCATTATTGTTAACTTTCCATATTGCTATTACAATGACTGCATTAATGACACGAAACCATGCCAATTTTCAAATTATGTTATTCCTTGCTTTATGTAAGTATATTTCATATTAAAAATGATTTATTTGCTATTTATTGCAATAATGTGTTTATGTTGCAGTACTCTTGGTATATTTCTCTGAAAGTATAAACGAAGTTGCTGCATCTAATTGGATGTAAGTGTCTTAATTAAAGGTTATCATATTATTTATACAATTTTTATTATTTATAATAATTATTCATAATATGTTTATGTAATTTTAATAGGTTGTTTTCAAGACAACAATATTTTGATTCTAATGGACTCTTCATATCTATAGTATTTTCTGTGCCTATTTTGTTGAATTGTATGATCATGATTGTAAGTAGTTAAAAATGTCAATCAATTTAAAAATAAATAATGTATGTATCTAGTATACCATTACTTCGATTTTCAATTTAGGCTAGCTGGCTTTATCAATCCAGTCAGTTAATGACTAGTTTAAAGAGAGCACAATTAAGGCAACAAGCGAGAAATCGGGAAATGGAAGATGACTCTGTGAATGCAAATGGGACTGTTGTAAGAGAAAAACAGGAATAACCATTCTAGTCCAATAACAAGAATGAGAAAATATGAAATATAAAAATGTACATTACTATGAAACAAGTATTGGCTTGTTTTTGACACAAGTAGAGTGATATATAATGGCATTGTAAAATTTGACGAATATTCAACATAGCATTTTTTAAAGACGCTATTGCCGATATAATTAATAATGTTACCGTAATTCATATCAAAGTTGAATAGTTCCATTGTCAGTTGACTGTACTTCCAATCTTATGTCATATATACGAGACGAATTCAGAATTTTGCAAATAATTTATTTATTCAAAATTAATGATATACTAAAATGCGATACGGCACGCAATTTGAAAATTACGAGATATTACATGATTCTCGAGAGAATATTGTTATCTTATATTAAGGTACATTCCGACAACGCTCTACTTTTATTTTAACGTTGAAATACGGATCAGTGTTTTTATTACCAATGTACTTACTATTGTAACACATATTGCTTGTTACAAAAGCTGATGAACGGCATAATTAAGTAATAATTAGGCTCTAGATATGTATGTATGTATGTATGTGTGAATATATAATTTTTTCCGAAAACTAAATCTTAAAAGATATTACGAATGTATTATGTCCATATTTACAAATTTTTTTTATTGTATATGTGTGTATATGTGTGTAACTATCTTGCCGTTGTAATATTTAAGGCGTGCCTAAATTTAAGTAATAAAATATTTCTTCTTAAAACTGTATTTCTTTTTCTATATTAATTTTCTATCAGTATTCTTTAGTCTTAAACTTATTTATTTCTAGATATACCTAAAATAGGTATAAAATATATAACTATAAACATGAAAACTACAATTAACTAAACATTTTTTTTATTGTAACAATAATCAACAATCAGACAATTTTTAATTAATGATTAACCACTGACTACATATAGTATTTTGTTTATACTATGATATTGTCTAGTCTATAATTGCGTGTATAGTATGCAATCTACCTTCTAAGTTGTATCTTGTCTGTGGTTGTCACTAATTTTCGGTAAATATACAACTACACTTAACCTAAACCATAAAAAAAAAGTTTATCTTGTTACACTTCAGTAACAAAAAATTATATTTCATGTAATTTTATAATTTTGTGCATTTACATTATATTATTATTAAATATAATGACTTCTCGACTGTATACGCTTTTACGCTTAAAATCTTGCAATACCAAAGAAATAAAAAATTGCATAGTTCAAAATGTTAATTGCATAATTGAAAATTCTAAGCTTTCTTACTGTTCTTCAGCTAATATACTTAAAGATAAAGCAACGAATATTAATGATAAATCAAAGAATGTTATGCTTAATAATATAGGTTATGAAAAGTCAACTGGTAATGTACTTGCAAGAGATAATAAAAACAATATATATAATGACACAGTAACACAAGTAACTAAATCAGATGGTAATGAACTGAAACGGCCATGTAATATTGAATTTTTGGAAAAAAATATTTATAAAATTGATAATGCTCTGGAAGAGGTAGATGAAAAACTACCAGGACCGTTTGATCAATGCAACGAAGACTTGTCTCATATTGGACCTTATATAACAGGAACTTATAATTTTGCGAAATTCGCAAATGATTCACATACAATTCAACAATTAGTTAAATTAGGAGTTGAATTGTACAAAATAGAATCAGATAGAGAAGTATTAGAAATGTTTTTAAAACTAGATTTTGAAAGAGATATGAAACCATACATACAATTTTTATACAACTGTGGTGTAAGTTCAGAAAATCTTGGATTTTTTATCACTAGATTTCCCAAGATTTTTAAAGAAGATATAGATGATCTTCATACAAGAATAAGATATTTAAGAGCTCATGATTTTAACATAACAATGATACAAACAATAGTAAATAAACATCCACCTTGGTTAGCTTTCAAAACACAAGAGATAGATCACAGACTTGGTTATTTTCAAAATAATTTTGAACTGAATGGTTCTCAAGTAAGAAATTTGGCGGTAAAATGTCCAAAACTTATAACATATGATATGAAACGTATAAGGCACAGTAGTTTTGCTATAAAAGAAGAAATGGGTTTCACTAAATTAGAAATATATCGTATCTTGCATAAAGCACCAAGAGTGTTAATTCGAGGTAATTAAGATACATATGAACGATAACAATGTAACAATAAGAAAATATTTTACCTTTAATTGTGATAATGTTTTATTTTCGTTACAGCTAGAACCGAAGTGGTGAAAACCTTCGATTATCTACACAATCAAATGAATTTGTCACATGATATTATTAGCCAAGAACCAATAGTTTTATTATGTAGAAAAAAAAGACTTGAAGTCAGACATAGGTTTTTAGTCGAATTAAAAAAAGATCAACATGACCCTACAAAACCATTATATGTGTCACCATTATGTTTGGTAAGAGGTAGTGATGATGAGTTCTGTGAAAAAATTGCAAAAACATCTATTTATACTTACAATGACTTTCTAAGAACTTTTTAATGTATAAAATAAATATAATTGTATCATAACATTTATATTTTCAGCCCTCCTTTTGTAGCAGTATAACCTTTATTGCATACATCTCATTTAAATATTAGGTACTTATATATTTCTATAATCATTTATATACAATTTTATATATCTTACAGAAAAATGTGTATTCTGTCGTATCAATACAAGTTTAGAGCAATATAAAAAAATTAATACTTAAATTAAAAAATATTTTTTCATTTCTTTAAAAATATCTTCGATAAAAATCAAGTTATTCTTCAAATGACGTGTAATGTCAAATCATCCGTCGTATAAAATATTTTCAGATATTTTATAATACTTTCTAAATTTATAATTTGAATTTTAATTATATTTGCCCAATTCTATCTTTTTCTGTATTGCTCTGACAGAATGATATAACAATGAATCTATTAAGCCAGCAACTGTAAATACTCCACCAATAATGGCACATGCGTTCGTCGCGAAATGACCGAATGATTTTGCTTTTTCTGTATACTTTACCATTAATGGACTTAATTCATAACTGAAAAATATACCAGGCATTCCGGATTCACCGCTGAACAGAGATACTTGTCTGGCATGCCGAGTTACAGAAAATTGATTTGTTAATAATGTAGATCCATCGGCGCGCACATAAGTCGTTGGTACGATTTTAATATAGTGATAAAACATCATCGCACCTGAAACAGAAACAACGAAACATCTCGTAAGATTTCATCTGCAATGATAAGTTATTACAATTACGTATTGAAAGTTTAATAATTTTGTTTTCAAAATTGAAAGTGAAAGAACTTTCTGTTTTTCTATAACCGAGCTGTTTACGTATTAAATTGAATAATCCGCCAATGACGTGATAGAAGACGGAAGTAGGAAAAGCAGCCATCTTGTATTGTATACGTAAAACTAACATGGTATCTTCCTTACATCACTTGAACGATTTGTGCTAAGAACTTACGAGTTGTAAAAGACGAAGAATCGTAATAAAACGAAAACGAATTAGAAATTCCAAAACCGAGAGCTTAAATTGTGAGTGATGTCGATTATAATTAATATCTATAAATTTTTTACGTGTAAATGAAATTGATTTATCCATATTATGGCAGGCATTAGTTAGTTACAATGTGTTAAAAAACTTCATAAATTTTCTGTTAAATATTTGATTAAAAATTGGTTCTACATATTCAATTCATTAAAAAAAAGAAAAAAATTATATCCAGTTTATTATGAAGTATCCATAAAAGAAATAAATTAAAGCTATATGTTTATAAAATTTATAAAATTTATATTCATAGAATATAATGCCAGCCGTACCAGGTATATATCAACAAGCTCCTTCATGCTGGGATAGGATAAAGCTTGGTTTTATGATTGGATTTTGTGTTGGCATGGCATCTGGTGTTCTGTTTGGTGGATATTCTATTGTTAGGTACATATTTATTTATTGTGATTAAACTCACAGAATAACTTTGAAATAAAAAGCTAATGGTGTTTATTACACTAGATATGGATTAAGAGGAAAGGAATTGATAACCAACGTTGGAAAAGCAATGGTTCAAGGGGGTGGAACGTTTGGTACATTCATGGCCATAGGGAGTGGAATAAGATGCTAGTACTTGAGGACTGTTATGTTTCACATTTAGGATACAAAAAATTGTAGTACCAAAATATTCTGTCAATTTCTTAATAAAAGATTTCTATGGAGCGAAGGCATACCTTCCATCGCAACTACGGTGGTATCATCCATAGGATTTGTTTTTCCTGGAATGTTTAATCCAAAACTTAAGTGGCGAATCTTATGGGTCATGTTAAATTGTGTTGATGTATATGGTTGGACATCGTGTACTGTAAGCAAAATGAAAAACAATAACTTTCAGTCTATATAAGAGATGGCAATATATTTTTCTTTTTTTACTTACCATGTACATGGTTTACAGAGAAGCTATCTCCTGGTGCAATATGAAAACTTCCACCTACTCTATTTACTTCCATATAACCATAGATTTGGCAGCCTTGACTAAAGGCAGTTTTCATTTTTTCTACTGACTTTTCATTTTTACATTGTTTTATCATTCCTAGAGTAGGAAGTGCCCAATTTTTAAGTTTGTAGGCTTCTCTTACATCTTCACAAGTATTACAACATCTACAAAATTAACTTAATTATATGATAGACTATCATAAAATACATAATAAGTTTCTGTAATACTGTACTTGATAATATCATTAGTTGCTCCATAACAATCTCCACATGGTTTCTCAGTAGTGTTCATTGTCTATGAAAAATTGTTTTAGTATAAGTATAAAAATCCATATTATAAAAATAGGTCTGTAAGAATGGTACAATTTAATTACCTTTGCTATTGTTTTATTACGTGCTTTTGTGTCAGTAATATCTATAATAAAATGAAAAGAAGATTAATTTGATATTATTTATTTTAAATATTTTACATTTCTTATAATATTATCTTGTACCTGTTCTCTGTGGATCTTCTATAGGTTTTCCATTTAAGTCTAAACGTCTTTTAAATATATTATGTTCTATTTGTAAATGCTGTTCACCTGTTGTGTCCATTGCATCTATTGATAAAACTGTAATACACTTAATTTAATATATGTTATTTAATATATGTTATGTATAATTGTATACATAAAATAATTTTTACTTACCATCACAAGATATTGTAGGTACAATTATATCTAAATTAATTCTTAATTTTGAACCTCTTGAAGTGTCCACAAACAGTTCTTCACTCAAAGTTGGAGTAAGATAATAATTCACTTCAGATAGAAATAAAATACCCATGATAATGGTACTAATAATTGTTACTGAAAAAATACAGGACACAAGTGAATTTAGGTTATAAACTTTGTTTACATCCGATAACAAATGTAAATAATAATTATGAGATAGTAAAAGATTTTAACAAACGTAGTTTAAAATATAGCTGCAACAAAGTTCCAAGAAATAACAATATTCAATTTGAGAATAACAGAATTTTCTATTTTCGTTAAATATTGAGGTTAAATCAATTTATCATATCTTGAAATTGAGGAAAGTAAAATAATCCAATAGTTTTTCAGCCTTATAACGATTTTGGAAAATCAACAAAATCGTTTATTGTATATTAGTGTCACAACAAAACCGATGAGCGGTATAAGGTTTAACAAGTGAAACACTTTACCAACGGCACCACTGAAAGTTCTCACGAGAATATCCGCCTCCTCGCGCACTTTTGGATGCACGTCTAATTGCCGTAACATTTGCATTTTCAGTCAATTATAAAATAAACTAATTAAACACGGCTAGAACCGTGCCTGAACTACTCGGCGTGCTAACTTTTCCCGCAATATACATGTGACAACGCGGCAACTTGAAAACGTGGCAGATAACAATACGATTGGTTATCGCTCATTCATTGTAAATACATTCGATAGCCAATCATCTTTTATATTTATTCATTACGATAATTTAAAATTTTAATAAAGTTCAAATTTTCATTATAAAGTGATTTCTTTTAATTTATGACAAAAATTTTATGGTATTAAATTCTAAGTGTTTATTCGTTTATCACATGGATATATTATCATATGGAATATAAATCTCCTATCTTTTTTAACCAATATTCAATATATTTCAAAAATATAATTAACTTCTTATCTTATCAAATTATTTATATATAGTTAATTATATTTGTAAAATTTTTGTTCTAATTCTATAGACACTATAATTCTGATTTTTTAGTATTATATTTTAATTTATTTGGACTAAGTTTTACTTTAATTCATTTGGTCTAATATTACATAAAATATTATTAAAATATTATAAAATATTGTATATAAAATATTATTAAACCATGTGGGAAAAAAGCCGTAAAACAAAGGATGAATGATCAGTATGAAGTATAAAATAATAATAACGATTTTTTAAATTAAGTCCTTCATTTTGTAACTTTCAAACAATGAAAGATTGACAAGAGAAATAAATGAGGATGACGGGAGCGATAGAGAAAGGTTGTAGTAATTTATATTCGTAACAAACGCTCGATAAACTTTATTTTTCCGTATATCACGTGGCACAATCGGAAACTTCCGGCTAAACGCATGTACAATGATGTGCAACGGTCATGTTTCCGCGTGTATGCGTGTCAGAGCATTAGAAAAAACGTGTTATTAGACGTGTCTTACGTAAAACTCTCGAGTATCTGAGAATATCTCGTCTCGACATAGTAGGTCTTCGCCGCAAGCCGGTTAAAGGGCTGCGCTATTAAGGCACTCTATGCCAGGAATATGTTCAACGTGCACAAGTGGTACAAACAGGATCCATGAAATATAGTATAATGTATAATATGTATATATATATAATAGATATCTCTATAAAAGAAAAGTACATCCTATGACGAAAACTAAATAAACGTACGTACATATGCAGGCTCATGGTTCGAGAAAAATTAAAACTAGGCGTATTCTAAAAATAATTGGACGGCGGTTCATAATGTATACTCTAATCGCGACCCGTTTTCGATTAATTGTCCTAAACAATAAAGGGGAATGTATGCGAGAATTTTTTATAACACTACTGCGATTAACGTGAAAAACTACATTTTTGAGAAAAAAGATACACTTGTCCTACTTTTTCACTTTGTTAGCCTTTAAATTATGTTAGCAAAGGGTATCTAATTTTCTGTTATTCTTTTATCATTTTCTTGTATCTTTGAATGATGTCCGTGCGAATTTCTAACTAAATCTTTCTGTTCTCAGTGTGCGAATTTATGAAATTTAGAAGGCGAACGGATCGTTTCGTAAACCTAAAACGAAATAAAGTAAATGCTAAACGATTGTACTTGCTAGAAACGGCATCGTAACACGAGATACTATCTGTCGTTGGCTTTCATAGCTCCGAGTATTTGTTCTAATCGTAAGTAGAAGAAGAATGGGCATGTTTGAAGTTCGTCGCTTTCGTTTCAGAAACCAGCTGGTTGCTCGAAGACTTCTAATACCTTCCTTGCCCGATTCGAGTGCGTCATTTGCTTAAAAATATCTATACATTCGATCAAGACAATATACACAACACACCAAAACTCTGTATACACATAGTACGACCATAAAATTGTTCCATTGCACGGCGATATGACGCTATAAATATAATAACGATGCACTCGATACCGAGTATATCGGCACTGCCTGTTTTACAGAAAACAGTGCAATAATTCTTTACTTCGCTCGAAAGTCTGAGTTTGGGCCGTGTATTCTGAAACTACTTGTTCCCTCAGATGATCTGAATGGTGTTTAATAGATCCAATTTACTGGAACCCATTGGTGTTCAGTGGCTAAGGCGTCCAACGCGGCGATTACCTGTCTAAATGTATTATCGAAATCTTCGTTCACGATTACCAAATCGATATATTTCTCGTAGGCACGCTGCAAAGCCGCCGATTCTTCCAATGTTGCTTTCAAATCGTCTTCCTAGTTAGTGAGAAACAGACTTTAGTTAAGTTGTACTTTGTGACATTTGAAAAAGAGTGAATTCTTATTGCATTTAATTCATGTGCGCTTGACGCAAATTTGATACTGATAGAAAAATGATAACTTTCAGTTTCTTTGAGAATGTTTATTCTTTATTTTGTATTAACTTACTGCTCGAGTTTTATTATAAATTATATTTACATGTTGTACAAGTTACCATTTTTCTTTGAATGTATCAATCTCGCGTGATTCTGTAAAGTGGATAATTTCTAGCAATAATACTATATATCTACAAGCAATTACGATAAAACGAGAAGAAAAAAATAAAACGCATATACATGCAAATACAAACCTCGTAGAGAGAAGCAAGGGACTCCAGTGTTCTGGCTCTTCTCGAGCTGTACCTGATGGAACTCTGGCGGTCAAACTAGCAAAGCCAATATCAAATACATACGAAAGATTAAACAAAGAACTCTACGTCAATTGAGGGAAGAGAGTTACATGACGGGCAGCGTGTAAAATATTCGACGTGGGATATAAAGAACACAGTATTTGAAAATGAATTTTATGCAAGAAAAATTTCGTGGGAGAGAGAAAGAAACTAATCGTTGAATCACTGTAATCGAACAAAAATACATGCGATACATTTACAATAGGCAAATTATACGTATTTACATGACGACGGCAAACAGACTGGCAGGCAGGATTCAAAAGGCTGCATCGTAAAAATTTGATGACTATGTTTATTTGAAACGCGGCCTGTGCCGTCGATACGTGTTTCTTCTTTATACAAATTTTCGCATACAGACTCGCTCCGTTCCAAGTGGGCTTTTTGTTTTCTTATTTTTCGTACGAGAAATTCGAATATATTCTCAGAAATTTGCAAATCGCTCTCTGAATTTTCAAATACGTTTTTTTTTCGCAGAAACGTATCTACTTGGCAAAAAAGTATCTTGAATAGTTGCAAATTGACTAATAATGTAACATTTATCAGTGATTTCATTGACTAAAAATTCATTAACAATACTAGCAATTCTATCGTAACAATATTACACATTCAATAAAGACTTCAATTCGCAAAATGTAATTACTTCTTCATACCGAATATGACAAAAAATACATAATAGAAAGGAGAGGAATATATAGCAGTCTCATAATTACCGTCAAATTTCGATTGCTAGTTCCAGTTGATCTCGCCAGATCGTACAACCATTTCAATTGTTCCATTCCTGGCGCCGCTATGAAGATGACATAGGGCATAAATTCCGTGCTGTTGTGAAGTATTTTTAAAGCAGCTGGACTACAGTCCAAAACGCACATTTTCCCAGCTCTGATCAACTCCCTCACAGAATCCAACTTTGTACCATACAAATGGCCACCGTGTTCTCCGTACTCGAGATAACGATGCTCTCTAATGTCCGTTTCCATCGATTCGCGATCGGTAAACCAATAACTTTTGCCATCTTCCTCGAGTACTCTAGGTGGTCGTGAGGTATCTAAAAACATATGATTTCTATATGAATCAATATTGCAGTCCTAACAGCTAATAATGTTCACGTTATCAGAGTCTTTTCAATTTTTCTGACTTAATTTCGACACAGTGAATTAAGATACACTTCTGTGATGTTTTCTTGCATATTAATTCAAAATTCTAGTTTCGTAGTATAACATAGCTGAATTTTATGTGTTTAATCTGTTATTATAAATTTCAAGCCAAATTTTTTCCGAAGTTTCCAAAAACTTTACAATATGAATTTTGTCTGTCATTCTGATCAAGATCTCACGATATGCAAAAATTATGACACTTACACGGAACAATGGTGCCAAATTTCTCGGGATCGCTATTTATAAGCCTATTCTTCAATGTTCTGCGGCCAACACCTCTCGGACCAACCAGTGCCAAGGTTTTACGTCTAAATGGTGGCATTCTGGCCACTTCTTCGTACAACAGCAGTTCTGCACTGTCAAATTCACCATTGGACTTTGATTGGTACATTTTCCTCTTCTTCTTTTTTGAGATTTTGGTCCCGCAGATGCTAATCTTGTGTACGAAATCCGCTTCCGGTGGCACGAACGCTTTCCTCCGTTCTTCTAACTCCAGTGACGGAACTAAACCCGGAGGACCTAGACCTTCGCCCTCAACTCGTCGAGCTTGCCACCAGTTTGGATCCGCCTGATCCACGATTTGCAATACGTCACCTTTCTGGAACGGAAGTCCAATTTCCTTGCACGGTAACAAGGTGTCTTCTGATGGATCATAATCGAACAGGGCCCTCATATAGCACTGTAATGTAAAATAAATTGAAGATAACAAAAGATAAACATTTCTACGTAATTATAGAAAATTTAGAGATGCAAAAATATGTACATAATGTCTTCGTTGTAACATTTAGTTTAGTCTAAATTTCACTATTTTAATTCTATGTCTAAAACTACCAAGAGGAAAATAATTTAAGAATTCATATAGAAACGATCAATTGGAAAAATTGATATCACAGAGAATACAATGTAAAGTTTATTCTTAAGTATATTTTTAGAATCGTATTTCTCGATTCACCTTTATCATTTATTTATACATGAAAAGCAAAGCTAGTGCAAGACACAAAATGTTGCTAGAACTTATGCTTTCAATGATAATTTTTATATTTACCATAAGATTTTAACAGCATATTTTATCTATTGAATAAATTCAGCAAAGTATTAAAATTTTAAATGCAATAGCATTAAGAGATCTTTTGTTGAGAAACGGAAATGTTAATTATATATTTCAAATAGACGTAGAATCATGAAGATTTTGAGAAATCGATTAATCATATTTTTGTGGCTCTATACTTTCATGTTTTTCACATGCAATCATCTTTTCAAGGAATCGATCTTTCAAAAATTTTATTTTTATCCTTTTAAATTCTGATATTATTTAATTATTAAATGTAATTATGTATAATTTATTATACATAATATTATTTAATTATTAAATTATTTAATTATAATATTTAAATATTATTTAATTATAATATTTAAATATTATTTAATTAATTAAATAATATTATGTATAATATTTTAATTATGTTATTTGACACGACGTGACGACGAACATTTGACATTCACTCAACCTGATCACCTCTATAATTTTTAATTCCATGATTAAAGAATGATTCGACAAACAAATCAACAGATGACGAACGATTCAAAAAAACAACGAAAAATTCTTCACGTTAGATTCACCATATATAAAATTATACATAATTTGCTTACCGTAGATTTCACAGGTAGATTGCCATCGGAGGCGACTCCAGGTGCAAGTTTCAACGACAAATTCTCCTTCGCCTCGTGAATGGCTTCTTGAAGTTCCTCAGGATTGCGAACTTCCTTTCCGTTCACCTCGAGGATCACCTCGCCGGTTCTCAGAAGTCCTTGACGAGCAGCAGTGCTTCCGCCCAGGATCCTGGCGATGATCAAATTGCCAGATTCGTCGACCTGCACCGTCAGACCCTGCGCGAAAACCAACCAATGAAAATAAACTCGTCCGAGTTCCGTTGAACGCGACCAAGTTCGTTACTTAGTACATTTGGAGAACAATCGGCGATTCTTGTCGAGACAGTTGACGATTCTACGTTCGTTTCAATTTTTGTTGTTATACTCTTGCAATGCCGCTTGCCTGTGAAGATTTACTGTTTCCATTTGCGTATGCAAATGTTAATGGAAGAGAATGTTCAAGATCATGGGCTTTGTGCTTTCGTTTGTCGAGAATGCGTTTATTGTCGACAATGTGACAAAATCGTGAACATTGAAAGTAGTTTGTAGTTTAGTTTGTATCAGTTGGATTTTCCAAGTCTCGACAATATTTATCTCGTCTTTTTTTTTTTTTTAATGTATTCAATTGATTTTGATGGCATTCTCGCTCACGTGATTCGTATTATTTTACATTAAGAAGTGAAAAAGAGAAAAGGAACTATTGCATCAATAGTCGTGACGTTCTGTTAGTTTTCAGAAGAAAATCCTTGGTTTCCAGGAAATTTTATTGCTCGTCGTTATATGAATTTTCGGAATGCAAAATGTTAAGAGTCAACATAAGGGGAGGATTGTATGTTATACCATTTCTGTTAAAATGTTTTCTTTACTCGGTATAAAGCTGAAAACTTTTGCCTCTGGTTTGAAACAACATGCCAGATTCATCGAACAGGCCACGTGGCCTCGAATCAGAATCAAACGGATAATAAACATTTTCAAATTATTTATGAACTGCGAATGGCATTTCCGTCTTTTCTTCGTTCGAGCGTATTAAATCCAACTCAGAATGGGAATTTTCTCACGTGACGGTATGGTAAACCTCTAAAACTAGATCCACGAACGAGAAAGTCGGTGTAAACAGTTATACTTCTTCGTTGCTCGTTCGACGTGCCTTTTCGTCAGTCACTTTCTTCACCAACGAAACAAACAAAGAAACTAAACCTGTTAAGAATCCTGTCTTAAATATCCAAGGACATATTGGATATTTCAGCTTTCAAACTATCAGAATTAGATATTCTGAAAATCTTCAAATATTCACGTCTCTCTATTTATATTATCTGATAACTCTATTATATCAAGTTGGTGCATATGAAATACTTCTTTTATATACAGGGTGTTTCATAACTTGTGGGGCCCACTTCGGGAGCTGATTGTATGCCTAAAAATAATGAAAAAGAGTCATAAAAATATATGTCCTATCGTATAATGAATTTTCTGTTTTAATTACTTTTATAAAAGATGCTCGAAATGACCACCTTGCATTTGAAGACTAGCCTGTACACGTCTTGTCATTGATCTGATTACTCTCTCTAGCATTCCTGGTGTTTCTCGAATTTGTCAGAAGCTTTGCTCCATTCTATTTCGTAGTATTTCAGCATTTTCAATCGATGTTGCGTATAGATGTTGTCGATAGATTTTAAATGTCCCCACAAATGAAAATCTAATGGATTCAAATCCGGAGAACGAGCAATAGAACCTCCACGACCAATCCATTTATTTGCAAAGTGTTGATTTAAAAATTGCCTAGCCACTAAAATGCGGCGGAGCTTCATTACGCATAAATCACGTACGAAGTCTAATATCGCCTGGAGTTTCCTCTAATATTTCGTGTAAACGCGTGCTCAAAAAATCAACTTACTTTTGTGCCTGTTAGTTTCTCATAAAAAAAAAGGTCCAATTAAAAATTTATCAATTATTCCTGCCCATACGTTTAAACTAAATTGGTGTTGATGTCTTGAATGCACAATAACATGTGGGCTTTCTTCATCCCAATTATGATTATTATGAAAATTGAATATACCANTCCCTGGTAAAACTAGCTTACTAGAGTTTGCTCTGTTTATAAAATTCATTATATCTCATAAACGAAGACAGATAGGACATATATTTATATGACTTTTTTTCATTATTTTTAGGCGTACAATCAGCTCCCGAAGTGGATCCCACAAGTTACGAAACACCCTGTATATACCAATATCATTCATTAAATTTCGCTCGTCTATTGCAAGTAACACGAAGAAGATTTATAACAAAGATATCAAAGTCAGAGTTACTGGTCATTATGAGTAGTCAGAATATTAACGCAAATTTTCTCTATGAGCTTAGATTTGGAAAAAGTAACAATTTCTGGAACCGTAAATTTACTACTTACAGTTAGATTGATTAATCACTGGAGCTTTGTGTATTTTCATTAATTCTATAAAAATTCTTACCAAAGGTTCGTCAGGTTGCCTTCTAAGGCCGACCATCCTCACAGCTTCTGTCCTCTCGTTGGTAGGCATTATTAATAGCGGTGGTTCCGGTTTCGATGGCTGTTCTTTCCGTTTGACAACCGCGTCGTGCGTCTCCAGAAGCGCTTTCAGATGCGAGCTCCTCAGCAATCGTACAAGCTCGCGTGCGTTCTCGTCTCTGGAGGAGCGGAGTGCGTGGCACACCTCGTCGACGATGTCACAAATGGACGAGCATACCGGTTCCACGTGGAGTGGAGGATCCTCCAGACGCTCCTGGACCTGCAACAGTCACGGCATCGATGGCTGTTAGAACTGGTTTTCGTACAGGCATTGTCTCGTCCTACTAACTCGACCGACCATCTTTTAGATCTCTCAATCAAGATTAGATTTTTTTTTTTTTTTTTTGTATGATGTACGTATCTTATTTTAATTTTTAATTCGAACTATTTTTGAAGATTTGAAAGTGATGCGTAACGTATTTAATCATTGATGCTCGAACTATATTAAAATAAAATGACTGAAATGGATCACTGAAATTCTGTGCTGCCCAATCATTTATTATAATTTTCTACTAGATTATGGAGTCTGAATTTTTGTACACATTTATATATATTTAAATTTCTCATAAATGCATAAATATTTATATTACGCTCTACACTAGTTGTGTTTTGCAGTTTAGGAGATGAGAAGATTATCGACGAAATAAATCAGTCCCTGGAGTTCGTCCAACATTTTTTCAATCTCCTTTCTGGGCTGTGTGTTAACGTATGGCCAAAGCCACAAACAGTGAACGGCTTAGCCATCGCCAGTTGTGAAAGTCGAAACGGGTTTCCGCATTAAATTCACCGTACGAGGTACCATGGTTGCTTCTCGTATCCCTTGCACAACTCGAGAGAAACGAAGATTCTCGGATCGACAATCTTTAGAGCGATTTTTAAAAGAATATTTCCAATTGTTTTGCAACATGCGACGACAAGAATATTTCAATTTTTTTTCGTTTTATATTTATAGAAAAATTACAGGGTATATCTACAGTTTTATGGTAAAAACTGCAAGAATTTTTGGTCGATTTATCACCTAAGAGCGTGAAATTATCATTGTGCAACGATGACCCGGTGTCAACGAGGTTTGATTGGATTAGCGTCGACCACGTAAGGCTAGTGTACTCTACATTGAACCAGCCAATGCAACGTTACAACAATGAAAGAGTAATTACGAAAGTAGGTCGTTCTCAGTGTTTCAGAGCCACCTTCGAGAATGCTTGATACCTGAACGCCGCGACGGTGCACGCCGAGTTGCGAATAATCGTTCACCTTTTAGAATTATTTCTTAAAAAAAAAAAAACTGAAAGAAACGTACGAAAATTATAATAGAATTTTATTTGCATAATATTTTAACAGTATTCTCACTACGAGAATACTGAACGGTAAAGAGTCACAGATAAAATGCAAACACCTAACAACGAGTTATTTCCAAAATAACTAGAGGCCAAAAGTAATAATTATTTCTAAAACTTTTCTTGAAATGAAAGACGAAGGTTGTCGTCAAAAAAATCAAGCAGTTAAACTTAATTTTTAACTATTCTGTACGAGGTAAATGTAAAACGTACGAAAGCAATTTTTAATTAACCATTATCGACAGAGAAAACATTACCAAAATGTTCGACCATATTTCAGGTTAATCAAGATTCAGTTGAAACGCAAAAAATTCTTTTTTGCATTTCATGAAAATTCGATGTGACTCATTTACTTTAGAAAATTCGCGAAGCCGTCGAAGTCGCTGTGTTTCCTACGGCCAGAGTGATTCATCGTCGAATCATTCGCGTTAATACATGTGCATAGATTTCGTTACAGCATCGAACATACGAATTGCGACACGATACAGACTTTCGCAAAAAATTGTACATCTTGGAAAGGGAGCATTAAAAACTGGCGAGCTTTTCGCAAGATCTTCGATTTGGAGTTTCTCTGGCTACGCGACTTGCACAGGCAACACTAAATCAACTAACGAAGCAAGAGACATCAAAGAACACGATTGAAGTCGTGTTTTGCGTGAAAACGTGGGAAAACAGTGTGTGATTTATTGAAAGGCGAGTGCGGATGTCAAAATTCGACAAATTGTTTTTATTAACGCGTGTTAGAATGTTCGACTACCTTATGAATTATTAACTCCTTATGAAACATTAACTTCCTATTTGGATAAACGATCTCAATCTTCGAGAGTGTCTTGTTTTCCAAAGAGTAATGAAAATTCATCTTCCCTACGTTTGAAAATTTATTCTCGAAATAAATTGCTTCGAAATTAATAATTGTATCATTTTAAAAATATATCAAGCAATGAAAATTGACCTTGCTGTATTCTGTGGGCCATTTTTGGATCGAATTTACCTGCATTTCTTGCTTTAATTTCCCGACGTTGTCTTAAAAGATGAAAAAAATCGTCTGTAAGATTGAAATATAAAAATCGAGGATTGCAAAGTGTAATTATTTCTGTGTAATTTGAAGAGAAGATTGGAGGGGAAGATGTAACAATTAACCACGAGTGAAAATTAAAATTGAAGTTTTACGTTATGTGAAGGTAATTTCTCCATATGTCGCAAGATTGCCATTGTCGTGAGCATGAATTACACGGCATTTATCATGGAAACGATGGTAGAACAGCTGGCGTTCAACGAACGTTGCAGCCTATAATGAATTCTCCTGTTCTTCCGTGACGTCCCTGAAAAAAACCTCTCACGAAACGAACACGAGGATTGTTGCGCTCGAAGAACAAACAGCGACTCGCTCATTACATATATCAATAACTAGGCGTTTCATCATTGCCACGATTCAAACAACTGCGTGGCAATTTTATGCCTCTTTTTCTTATCTTCACGTGCCTCTCGATTTGAAATTGTCAATCGAGAATCAAATAAAATCGTTAAACATCATTATAATTTGTATGACTTGCAAGAAACTTGTTGACTGTCGTTCACTTGCTTCCAGTGAACAGAAAGCAGCGAATCTTCTTTTAAAATCAATTCAAGTGGAAATGGAAAGTAATGGATCTTCTTTCAAAACTAATTTCAAAATTCCATATATTCTATTTCCAAGGAATCACATAGTGAACGAAGATACTAAAAAATTTCACTTTCAATCTCACAAGTATATATAAAAATAATACTAGTCTAGAATTTTACTGTCCCTTGAATTTTTAACACTAGAACTACCGCGAACTAAAATATAAAAATTGACTAAAAAAAAAAAATTAGAATGCAAGGAAAAGATTTATAATACGATAACGAACACGAACTTTCATTCATATATTTTACAAAAACCACTCGAACTTCTAAAAAAAAAGTAACATTGTAAATTCGCAGAATTAAAAATCTAAAAAATTATAAATTGGACATTTTGACCGTTTTGGTAGTTTTAGCGTTAAATAAAATTAACAAGCGACACAGGACGACGGATTAAAATATAGATCGACCACAATATTCCTCTGCTTCCTTTTCTTTTCTAATTGCACAGCAAGTAGATCTCCCCTTAACAAAATGTTTACTCCAAATTCCCTCTCTCCAAAAGAATCACACAAATGATATACGCACTTGACAAAAGAAGAACGACTGATGTATCGCAGTATAGTTTTGCCTCGATATCGAGCTACTCTCAACTTCAAGATCTACGGACCACGGACGCCAAAAGGAGCCAACAACGGGCAACAAATCACGCTTTCTCTCGATCTCACGTGTCGTCGTAGCAGTAGCAGCAGCAGTCCTCCATTCGCCTAGCTCTCCCAACCATCCAGATTTCCATCCAAAACTCACTAACAACACCTCCGAATGATGAAACAAACCTCTCCAACGATTTTTCCACGGATATCCTGACTTACAGCGGAGAAACGCCGAGGCAGAGGTCGCCTGTCACCGTCAGTTAGGCCGTTCTATTCTGGAGAACGAGCTGGCCGCCGTCCTGGAGCTGGAGTTGGCCGTATCGATCGGCCAGGGCCGTGGAGGGTGCACTCACGCGGCGACAACTGACGGGGTAAACGGCCACGAGAGAAGCTCGACGAGAGGGGTTTGCCACAAGGAATAAACGCGACTTGAACGACAAGCACACGACGTATGTTACTTAGGTAAGCGGCGTCAGAAAACTGCCGCGCCTACTGACGTTTCTTTCGTCCCCACCTTCGAGCCAGCTCGTTCAGTCGGCCAGTCTAAAACAGGTGGGGGCCCTTCTTCGCAGATGTGGTATGCAACACTCCGCTACGTTCGACGCAGGGCCGTCTACGTGCCTGTTTCAAACCCCATTCTACTTGCTCCCCTCCGTAAAATGGTAATTCCGAGGTTTCGAAAATATCTCTTCCAAATACTTCTAGCGATTGTTCAAACATCACGTCGACTGACTGATCGCGAAGAAAAAAGTGATCATATTGTGCTTCCTTTTCAATTATTTAAAAATTTGGCTGGTAGTTGTAAATGATTCTACAAATGTGAATCATTTGTTCGTTGAAAGTTGTATTCTATTAGTTGATCGGTTTGATCATATTTTATGGAAATTTCGAAACCTTCTTACTCTTCTTTTTTTTTTTTTTTTTTAGAAGATAGATGAACTCTTTCGAAGTTAATTGGACAGCATGTTCCAAAATTATTTTTAGAATGATGTCAAAATAGTGACGGTTGGAACGGGACGAAGTTCAGAAGGAAACCTGAAAGATTATGATCGACAGAATTTCTGAAATTTTGAAAATTAATAGTGACCGCTCAAGAAATTTATCTGAGTGTTTGTTATTTTCATAGATAGTAGATACTTTGGCGTTAGAAAAGTGAAATGACACAATTATCAATTATAAACGAAGTTTATTCCTCGATTGAAATAATTCTACCAATTGTGTGATTAAAAGTAACCTATAGTTATGATTGACGTGTTGGGAGCAAGTAGACCATGTTATACTTGCTGGTTACACGATAATATTATTATCTGGCTGGTATCATTGTCGGAAATTCTAACGTTTCTTTCAACACGGGAAAGCGGCGATGTTTAAGGGGAGTGCCAACGTGTAAACGCGAACGTGTCTCGTTGCGAGGAATGTTAAATATCTTAGGTACTCCATCTAGAAGAGGTAGATAGGTATACTCTCTTACTACGCGAGCATTCCTATTCCCTACGTTATTTCTGCGTGAAAGTATACACTCGCACATGCACGTGCACATATACAGAGACTCGTAACTTTCGTTTCATTCTTGTCCTTGGACATATTTTCGTAGTTAGTCTGCCTTTTAATCGTACGATTCTCCGTCG